TACCCAACGTTTTTGGTGCTGAAACCCGGGAGAGCAGATCCCTTCAGTGGGAGTTCGCCTTCGGAGAGCCGCATGGCGCCACTTCATCATAAAAGTCCGGGGGGCTGAGAATTGCCTCATCGGCCGGCTGTTTATCTCCGCAGACGAACTTCCATTAACAGGCTCTCGCGCACGGACTCAGGGCGAGTCTGCCACTCAGGGAGAGAGTGAGTACCTAAATTAAATTGCACCCTTTAATTTTTTAATAACCAGTTGACAGTGTGGTTTTACGCTGGTGGTGATTTTGCCATCCACGCACGAAAGACGTTTCGGGCCCCGGTTAAGGGCTGGACTGATAGCCGCCGGACCTTGTCCTGGACTCCCATGCATGGTCCAAAAAGTGTTATTTGTACAACTTGTGATGTTTACAATGGGTAAACCTTCTTTGAAGGACCTCATGTTTGTCACCACAGAAATGCTGAGCAAATTAACAGGCAGAAAGTCTAACAATCGTGATACCCAAAGGCTAGAAGTCCAGTACCGAAAAGAAAAAAAATAAGCCTGCTCGTGTTACCGTCCTGTGCACCAAGAGTACTGGCGTAGCTAATGCGCTCGTGTGCATTGGTGGTCCAGTGGTAGGATTCTCGCCTGCCACGCGGGAGGCCCGGGTTCGATTCCCGGCCAATGCAACCTCTGTTGGATAGAATTCCAAGGCCTGTCCAATGCATCGATCAAAGTTAGTAGTCATCTATAATCCAAGTCTCTCATGTGACAGGCGGTGATTCGCTCACCAATACGAACAACGACGTCTTACTCTTCATGCGCCTATTCCTCAACTGGCCTTTTGAAACATCTATGCCAACAGATGGCATTGCACGATGTGCAACAATTGTCGTCAGACAGCATTTATTGGTTACCCTTGGAGCTGTGGCAATGAGTAAAGATGGTTTGAACATCCTAAAGGTTTCCACCACAGAAATGCTGAGAAAAATGACACATTAGGAAGAAACCCTGTGTTCCAATGGCTGTCCTAAATGACAGCTAAAAAACATATCAAATGATCAATCACTGCAGTTCAACGAATAAGTGTAAATGAAGACACGGTGGTGCAGTTGATGTGGAAAGCAAGCTAAAAAATGTTGATTTATGCATTCAGGTTCAACTTACAAAACGACTTACAGTTCAATTGAGTTCCAACAAGATGCCGTATCAAAATACAAAAAGCTTCCATTACAAACATGTAGAGACCTCAGGGACAATGTGAAAAACAAGTAGAAGTAACTATTGTGAAAAGAAAATGAAGGCTGCACATTTTACTGTGCCATGCGTGATACGTGCAGGCCATAAAGGTTAGCGTGTCCTGTTTGGTAGGCCAGTGGTAGCATTCAACAGCTGCCACGCAAGAGACCTGGGGTTAAATACCAGCAGTTGAAGTGATGGTCAAGTGCAAAATTGGCCATTTTGTTCAATGCATCAAGCTAAAGTTAACTGCAGTCTCCCCGTCGGGGAATCAAACCCCGGTCTCCCGCTTGACAGGCGGGGATACTGTCCACTATACTAACGAGGAACTCATATTCTGTATCAGCCAACTACTCACCCGCTATATACATGTCATTGGCTGGCTTTGCATGATTGGCAATATGCATCGTCAAAAAAGTATTATTTGTACAACTTGTGACTTTTACTGATAGATAAATCTGATTGTCAAACAGAGTTACCTCACCCTAAATGTTTGCAGGAATTCCTTTCTGCCTGAGGGCTTCCTTTCTGCTTTAGGTACTTATTTACATTAAAATGTTTGCAGCAACTCCTTTATGCTTTAGGCACTTTTGTTCTATTATATGGAGGCCAAACCGGCCAGACCGGGAGTTTCTTCTGCAGGAACACCGTCTTGCCCTGGCCAAGAGACTCGTTGATCTATTATCTGAATAATCCCTTTTGTCTTCTGTGGATTCCTGAGGCCAAGGGGGTTTTTGAGGAATTTATGGGTGTGTGTGTGTTCTTGCAAATAAATTCACTCCAGAGTTTCGACTCGGGCTGAGAGGAAACTGGTTTTCGACTGGTGTGGATTGATTCTTCTCACCCTTTGCAAAGTATCTCACACTTTGCAAAGTATGTGTTCGTTGTCTGTTTAAGGTTGTTTACAATGTACCAAATTATCAATCTATTCCCTCTGTGTGTGCTCTGAGTTTTCTTTGAGGTAATACAGGACAAATAAAAATTACCCAACGATTTTGGTGCTGAAACCCGGGAGAGCAGATCCCTTCAGTGGGAGTTCGCCTTCGGAGAGCCGCATGGCGCCACTTCCTCATCAAAGTCCGGGGGGCTGAGAATTGCCCCATCGGCCGGCTGTTTACCTCTGCAGACGAACTTCCATTAACAGGCTCTCGCGCACGGACTCAGGGCGAGTCTGCCACTCAGGGAGAGAGTGAGTACCTAAATTAAATTGCACCCTTTAATTTTTTAATAACCAGTTGACAGTGTGGTTTTACGCTGGTGGTGATTTTGCCATCCACGCACGAAAGACGTTTCGGGCCCCGGTTAAGGGCTGGACTGATAGCCGCCGGACCTTGTCCTGGACTCCCATGCATGGTCCAAAAAGTGTTATTTGTACAACTTGTGATGTTTACAATGGGTAAACCTTCTTTGAAGGTCCTCATGTTTGTCATCACAGAAATGCTGAGCAAATTAACAGGCAGAGAATGTAACAATCGTGATACCCAAAGGCTAGAAGTCCAGTACCGAAAAGAAAAAAAAAAAAGCCTGCTCGTGTTACCGTCCTGTGCACCAAGAGTACTGGCGTTGCTAATGCTCTCGTGTGCATTGGTGGTCCAGTGGTAGGATTCTCGCCTGCCACGCGGTAGGCCCGGGTTCGATTCCCGGCCAATGCAACCTCTGTTGGATAGAATTCCAAGGCCTGTCCAATGCATCAATCAAAGTTAGTAGTCATCTATAATCCAAGTCTCTCATGTGACAGGCAGTGATTCGCTCACCAACACGAACAACGACCTCTTACTCTTCATGCGCCTATTCCTCATCTGTCCTTTTGAAACATCTATGCCAACAGATGGCATTGCATGATGTGCAACAATTGTCGTCAGACAGCATTTATTGGTTACCCTTGGAGCTGTGGCAATGAGTAAAGATGGTTTGAACATCCTAAAAGTTTCCACCACAGAAATGCTGAGAAAAACGACACATTAGGAAGAAACCCTGTGTTCCAATGGCTGTCCTAAATGACAGCTAAAAAACATATCAAATGATCAATCACTGCAGTTCAACGAATAAGTGTAAATGAAGACACGGTGGTGCAGTTGATGTGGAAAGCAAGCTAAAAAATGTTGATTTATGCATTCAGGTTCAACTTACAAAACGACTTACAGTTAAATTGAGTTCCAACAAGATGCCGTATCAAAATACAAAAAGCTTCCATTACAAACATGTAGAGACCTCAGTGACAATGAGAAAAACAAGTAGAAGTAACTATTCTGAAAAGAAAATGAAGGCTGCACATTTTACTGTGCCATGCGTGATACGTGCAGGCCATAAAGGTTAGCGTGTCCTGTTTGGTAGGCCAGTGGTAGCATTCAACAGCTGCCACGCAAGAGACCTGGGGTTAAATACCAGCAGTTGAAGTGATGGTCAAGTGCAAAATTGGCCATTTTGTTCAATGCATCAAGCTAAAGTTAACTGCAGTCTCCCCGTCGGGGAATCAAACCCCGGTCTCCCGCTTGACAGGCGGGGATACTGTCCACTATACTAACGAGGAACTCATATTCTGTATCAGCCAACTACTCACCCGCTATATACATGTCATTGGCTGGCTTTGCATGATTGGCAATATGCATCGTCAAAAAAGTATTATTTGTACAACTTGTGACTTTTACTGATAGATAAATCTGATTGTCAAACAGAGTTACCTCACCCTAAATGTTTGCAGGAATTCCTTTCTGCCTGAGGGCTTCCTTTCTGCTTTAGGTACTTATTTACATTAAAATGTTTGCAGCAACTCCTTTATGCTTTAGGCACTTTTGTTCTATTATATGGAGGCCAAACCGGCCAGACCGGGAGTTTCTTCTGCAGGAACACCGTCTTGCCCTGGCCAAGAGACTCGTTGATCTATTATCTGAATAATCCCTTTTGTCTTCTGTGGATTCCTGAGGCCAAGGGGTTTTTTGAGGAATTTATGGGTGTGTGTGTGTTCTTGCAAATAAATTCACTCCAGAGTTTCGACTCGGGCTGAGAGGAAACTGGTTTTCGACTGGTGTGGATTGATTCTTCTCACCCTTTGCAAAGTATCTCACACTTTGCAAAGTATGTGTTCGTTGTCTGTTTAAGGTTGTTTACAATGTACCAAATTATCAATCTAATCCCTCTGTGTGTGCTCTGAGTTTTCTTTGAGGTAATACAGGACAAATAAAAATTACCCAACGATTTTGGTGCTGAAACCCGGGAGAGCAGATCCCTTCAGTGGGAGTTCGCCTTCGGAGAGCCGCATGGCGCCACTTCCTCATCAAAGTCCGGGGGGCTGAGAATTGCCCCATCGGCCGGCTGTTTACCTCTGCAGACGAACTTCCATTAACAGGCTCTCGCGCACGGACTCAGGGCGAGTCTGCCACTCAGGGAGAGAGTGAGTACCTAAATTAAATTGCACCCTTTAATTTTTTAATAACCAGTTGACAGTGTGGTTTTACGCTGGTGGTGATTTTGCCATCCACGCACGAAAGACGTTTCGGGCCCCGGTTAAGGGCTGGACTGATAGCCGCCGGACCTTGTCCTGGACTCCCATGCATGGTCCAAAAAGTGTTATTTGTACAACTTGTGATGTTTACAATGGGTAAACCTTCTTTGAAGGTCCTCATGTTTGTCACCACAGAAATGCTGAGCAAATTAACAGGCAGAAAATGTAACAATCGTGATACCCAAAGGCTAGAAGTCCAGTACCGAAAAGAAAAAAAAAAAGCCTGCTCGTGTTACCGTCCTGTGCACCAAGAGTACTGGCGTTGCTAATGCTCTCGTGTGCATTGGTGGTCCTCCAGTGGTAGGATTCTCGCCTGCCACGCGGGAGGCCCGGGTTCGATTCCCGGCCAATGCAACCTCTGTTGGATAGAATTCCAAGGCCTGTCCAATGCATCGATCAAAGTTAGTAGTCATCTATAATCCAAGTCTCTCATGTGACAGGCAGTGATTCGCTCACCAACACGAACAACGACCTCTTACTCTTCATGCGCCTATTCCTCATCTATCCTTTTGAAACATCTATGCCAACAGATGGCATTGCATGATGTGCAACAATTGTCGTCAGACAGCATTTATTGGTTACCCTTGGAGCTGTGGCAATGAGTAAAGATGGTTTGAACATCCTAAAGGTTTCCACCACAGAAATGCTGAGAAAAACGACACATTAGGAAGAAACCCTGTGTTCCAATGGCTGTCCTAAATGACAGCTAAAAAACATATCAAATGATCAATCACTGCAGTTCAACGAATAAGTGTAAATGAAGACACGGTGGTGCAGTTGATGTGGAAAGCAAGCTAAAAAATGTTGATTTATGCATTCAGGTTCAACTTACAAAACGACTTACAGTTCAATTGAGTTCCAACAAGATGCCGTATCAAAATACAAAAAGCTTCCATTACAAACATGTAGAGACCTCAGTGACAATGAGAAAAACAAGTAGAAGTAACTATTCTGAAAAGAAAATGAAGCCTGCACATTTTACTGTGCCATGCGTTATACGTGCAGGCCATTAAGGTTAGCGTGTCCTGGTTGGTAGGCCAGTGGTAGCATTCAACAGCTGCCACGCAAGAGACCTGGGGTTAAATACCAGCAGTTGAAGTGATGGTCAAGTGCAAAATTGGCCATTTTGTTCAATGCATCAAGCTAAAGTTACCTGCGGTCTCCCCGTCGGGGAATCGAACCCCGGTCTCCCGCGTGACAGGTTGGGATACTGTCCACTATACTAACGAGGAACTCACATTCTGTATCAGCCAACTACTCACCCGCTATATAAATGTCATTGGCTGGCTTTGCACGATTGGCAACATGCATGGTCCAAAATGTGTTATTTGTACAACTTGTGACTTTTTTTGATAGATAAATCTGATTGTAAAACAGAGTTACCTCACCCTAAATGTTTGCAGGAATTCCTTTCTGCCTGAGGGCTTCCTTTCTGCTTGAGGTACTTATTTACATTAAAATGTTTGCAGCAACTCCTTTATGCTTTAGGCACTTTTGTTCTATTATATGGAGGCCAAACCGGCCAGACCGGGAGTCTCTTCTGCAGGAACACCGTCTTGCCCTGGCCAAGAGACTCGTTGATCTATTATCTGAAGAATCCCTTTTGTCTTCTGTGGATTCCTGAGGCCAAGGGGGTTTTTGAGGAATTTATGGGTGTGTGTGTGTTCTTGCAAATAAATTCACTCCAGAGTTTCGACTCGGGCTGAGAGGAAACTGGTTTTCGACTGGTGTGGATTGATTCTTCTCACCCTTTGCAAAGTATCTCACACTTTGCAAAGTATGTGTTCGTTGTCTGTTTAAGGTTGTTTACAATGTACCAAATTATCAATCTAATCCCTCTGTGTGTGCTCTGAGTTTTCTTTGAGGTAATACAGGACAAATAAAAATTACCCAACGATTTTGGTGCTGAAACCCGGGAGAGCAGATCCCTTCAGTGGGAGTTCGCCTTCGGAGAGCCGCATGGCGCCACTTCCTCATCAAAGTCCGGGGGGCTGAGAATTGCCCCATCGGCCGGCTGTTTATCTCTGCAGACGAACTTCCATTAACAGGCTCTCGCGCACGGACTCAGGGCGAGTCTGCCACTCAGGGAGAGAGTGAGTACCTAAATTAAATTGCACCCTTTAATTTTTTAATAACCAGTTGACAGTGTGGTTTTACGCTGGTGGTGATTTTGCCATCCACGCACGAAAGACGTTTCGGGCCCCGGTTAAGGGCTGGACTGATAGCCGCCGGACCTTATCCTGGACTCCCATGCATGGTCCAAAAAGTGTTATTTGTACAACTTGTGATGTTTACAATGGGTAAACCTTCTTTGAAGGTCCTCATGTTTGTCATCACAGAAATGCTGAGCAAATTAACAGGCAGAAAATGTAACAATCGTGATACCCAAAGGCTAGAAGTCCAGTACCGAAAAGAAAAAAAAAAGCCTGCTCGTGTTACCGTCCTGTGCACCAAGAGTACTGGCGTTGCTAATGCGCTCGTGTGCATTGGTGGGCCAGTGGTAGGATTCTCACCTGCCACGCGGGAGGCCCGGGTTCGATTCCCGGCCAATGCAACCTCTGTTGGATAGAATTCCAAGGCCTGTCCAATGCTTCGATCAAAGTTAGTAGTCATCTATAATCCAAGTCTCTCATGTGACAGGCAGTGATTCGCTCACCAATACGAACAACGACGTCTTACTCTTCATGCGCCTATTCCTCAACTGGCCTTTTGAAACATCTATGCCAACTGATGGCATTGCATGATGTGCAACAATTGTCGTCAGACAGCATTTATTGGTTACCCTTGGAGCTGTGGCAATGAGTAAAGATGGTTTGAACATCCTAAAGGTTTCCACCACAGAAATGCTGAGAAAAACGACACATTAGGAAGAAACCCTGTGTTCCAATGGCTGTCCTAAATGACAGCTAAAAAACATATCAAATGATCAATCACTGCAGTTCAACGAATAAGTGTAAATGAAGACACGGTGGTGCAGTTGATGTGGAAAGCAAGCTAAAAAATGTTGATTTATGCATTCAGGTTCAACTTACAAAACGACTTACAGTTCAATTGAGTTCCAACAAGATGCCGTATCAAAATACAAAAAGCTTCCATTACAAACATGTAGAGACCTCAGTGACAATGAGAAAAACAAGTAGAAGTAACTATTCTGAAAAGAAAATGAAGCCTGCACATTTTACTGTGCCATGCGTTATACGTGCAGGCCATAAAGGTTAGCGTGTCCTGGTTGGTAGGCCAGTGGTAGCATTCAACAGCTGCCACGCAAGAGACCTGGGGTTAAATACCAGCAGTTGAAGTGATGGTCAAGTGCAAAATTGGCCATTTTGTTCAATGCATCAAGCTAAAGTTACCTGCGGTCTCCCCGTCGGGGAATCGAACCCCGGTCTCCCGCGTGACAGGTGGGGATACTGTCCACTATACTAACGAGGAACTCACATTCTGTAACAGCCAACTACTCAACCGCTATATAAATGTCATTGGCTGGCTTTGCTTGATTGGCAATATGCATGGTCCAAAAAGTATTATTTGTACAACTTGTGACTTTTACTGATAGATAAATCTGATTGTCAAACAGAGTTACCTCACCCTAAATGTTTGCAGGAATTCCTTTCTGCCTGAGGGCTTCCTTTCTGCTTTAGGTACTTATTTACATTAAAATGTTTGCAGCAACTCCTTTATGCTTTAGGCACTTTTGTTCTATTATATGGAGGCCAAACCGGCCAGACCGGGAGTTTCTTCTGCAGGAACACCGTCTTGCCCTGGCCAAGAGACTCGTTGATCTATTATCTGAAGAATCCCTTTTGTCTTCTGTGGATTCCTGAGGCCAAGGGGGTTTTTGAGGAATTTATGGGTGTGTGTGTGTTCTTGGAAATAAATTCACTCCAGAGTTTCGACTCGGGGTGAGAGGAAACTGGTTTTCGACTGGTGTGGATTGATTCTTCTCACCCTTTGCAAAGTATCTCACACTTTGCAAAGTATGTGTTCGTTGTCTGTTTAAGGTTGTTTACAATGTACCAAATTATCAATCTAATCCCTCTGTGTGTGCTCTGAGTTTTCTTTGAGGTAATACAGGACAAATAAAAATTACCCAACGATTTTGGTGCTGAAACCCGGGAGAGCAGATCCCTTCAGTGGGAGTTCGCCTTCGGAGAGCCGCATGGCGCCACTTCCTCATCAAAGTCTGGGGGGCTGAGAATTGCCCCATCGGCCGGCTGTTTATCTCTGCAGACGAACTTCCATTAACAGGCTCTCGCGCACGGACTCAGGGCGAGTCTGCCACTCAGGGAGAGAGTGAGTACCTAAATTAAATTGCACCCTTTAATTTTTTAATAACCAGTTGACAGTGTGGTTTTACGCTGGTGGTGATTTTGCCATCCACGCACGAAAGACGTTTCGGGCCCCGGTTAAGCGCTGGACTGATAGCCGCCGGACCTTGTCCTGGACTCCCATGCATGGTCCAAAAAGTGTTATTTGTACAACTTGTGATGTTTACAATGGGTAAACCTTCTTTGAAGGTCCTCATGTTTGTCATCACAGAAATGCTGAGCAAATTAACAGGCAGAAAATGTAACAATCGTGATACCCAAAGGCTAGAAGTCCAGTACCGAAAAGAAAAAAAAAAGCCTGCTCGTGTTACCGTCCTGTGCACCAAGAGTACTGGCATTGCTAATGCGCTCGTGTGCATTGGTGGGCCAGTGGTAGGATTCTCACCTACCACGCGGGAGGCCCGGGTTCGATTCCCGGCCAATGCAACCTCTGTTGGATAGAATTCCAAGGCCTGTCCAATGCATCGATCAAAGTTAGTAGTCATCTATAATACAAGTCTCTCATGTGACAGGCAGTGATTCGCTCACCAATGCGAACAACGACGTCTTACTCTTCATGCGCCTATTCCTCAACTGGCCTTTTGAAACATCTATGCCAACTGATGGCATTGCATGATGTGCAACAATTGTCGTCAGACAGCATTTATTGGTTACCCTTGGAGCTGTGGCAATGAGTAAAGATGGTTTGAACATCCTAAAGGTTTCCACCACAGAAATGCTGAGAAAAACGACACATTAGGAAGAAACCCTGTGTTCCAATGGCTGTCCTAAATGACAGCTAAAAAACATATCAAATGATCAATCACTGCAGTTCAACGAATAAGTGTAAATGAAGACACGGTGGTGCAGTTGATGTGGAAAGCAAGCTAAAAAATGTTGATTTATGCATTCAGGTTCAACTTACAAAACGACTTACAGTTCAATTGAGTTCCAACAAGATGCCGTATCAAAATACAAAAAGCTTCCATTACAAACATGTAGAGACCTCAGTGACAATGAGAAAAACAAGTAGAAGTAACTATTCTG